CCATGCTTGAGCGTTTGAGAATATCCAGGATATATTTGGATTGACTGATGAATATCCCTGAAGATGATCTCTTCACTTCCAATCTGAGAAAGTAATGCAAGTCTCATAGGTCTTTGACAGGAAATTGAGCACTGAGTTAATCAATAACCGCTTGACAAGCATTGGAAGAAGGTCATGTTACTATAATATCATCAACATAAACCAGTACTAGAACAAGAACAGGTTTGTGAAAAATAAACAGACTATGATTAGAGTGAGATGCTTGAAATCTAATAGAATACAGTGTTGATTGAAGCTTTTCATACCAAGCTTGGGGAGCTTGTTTGAGACCATAAAGAGACTTTTGAATATGGTAAACATGATGAGGATTGTCTTGATCAACAAATCTGGGAGGTTGGACCATATAAACATTTTCTTTCAGAGAGCCATGTAAAAAGACATTGGTTACATCCAACTTATGTAAGAACCAATTAGATTACACTGTAAGAGTAAGCAAGATCCTTATAGTTACAAGTTTGGCAACTAGACTGAAGGTTTCATTATAGTCAATACCCTCTTGTTGGTTGTAACCCTTTGCAACAAGACGGGCCTTATACCTATCCACAAAGCCATCGGGCTTTCTTTTGATCCTGAACACCCATTTGCAACTAACCAAATTATGTGTAGATGTAGGAGAAACAAGGTTCCAAGTTCCAGTATTTTGTAAAGCATTGAACTCATCCTGCATTGCAGCTCGCCATTGAGGATATTTTAATGCCTAAAGATATGTAAAGGGAACAAACTCATTGTCCAAGTGAGAAGGTACATGGTGTTTGGTTGGTGTGAAGGCCTTTGGTTTGAAAATTCCTGATTTGGACCTTGTTTGCATATAATGAATTAAGGTGACAGGTAAAGATTGAGAAATAAGAGCTGAAAGAGTAGATGAGGTTGAGATTTAAGGTGAATGTGGTAGTGATGTTGATATAGAATGTGAGATTGAAGGTGAATTTGGTGGTGAATTTGTTGATGACTCAGTATGATTGGGATTAATAGTTGGGGTGAAGTTGATAGGATGAGAGGGTGAAGGATAAAAATTTAGGAATATTAGAGAGAATGAGGAAGTTGGTGAAGGTGTGGTATTGGAAATAGTGGATGGTTGAGGCTTGGTGATATCATGGAAAGGAAAAGTGTGTTCATCATAATGAACATGTTGAGAGACATATACCCTATTTGTAGAAGGATCTAAACACCTATAACCTTTGTGAACCAAGCTATAACTAATGAATACACATAATTTACTCTTAGGTTCCAATTTCAAAGTAGAATAGGGTTTAAGCCATGGAAAGCAATCGCAGCCAAACACCCTTAAAGTTGTATAATCAGAAGCTTTGTGAAAAACTTGTTCCCATAGTGATGCTTTATGAGATGAAGGCAATCTATTAATAAGGTAGACTGCAGTGAGGAAGACCTCCACCCAAAACTGATAAGGAACCTTGGAGGCAATCAAAAGAGTCATGGCAGTTTCCATAATATGTCTATGCTTCCTCTCAGCACATCCATTTTGCTGAGATGTGTATGGACAGCTGAGATGTTGTTGAATACCATGAGAGAAGAAATGATTTTTTAACTGAGAACTAATAAACTCACCCCTTGAATCAGATCGTAGTGTACCAATTTTGTGACCAGAAGGATTCTCAACAAGAGCTTGAAATTGGACAAAAACATGAAAGACATCTGATTTATGTTTCAGTGGATACAACCATGTATATTTTGTAAAGTCATCAACAAAGATGACATAAAATCTATAGCCACTGATAAAACATATAGGAGCTGGACCCCAAACATCTGCATGAACAAGTTTCAAGATTCTAGAGGTAATACATATAGAATTCTGAAATGGCAATTTAGCACACTTGCCTAAAACACAATTTGAGCAAAACAGTTGTTGAACAGAATTGGAAATAGGCAAACTAGACTTTGACAAAAGAGATCGAAAAGTCTTGAACGTTGGATGCCCCAAACGTTGATGCCATATAGCAGATGAGGTCTTTATTGCAGTATTAGCATAATACTTTGCTGCAGTTGAAAAAGATGTAAAGAATGGATAGAGACCACAACGAATAGGTGCTCTAAAAAGCATCATCCCCGTAGTAAGATCCTTGGCATTGAAGTCAAACAGATTTAGAGTAAAAAAACACCAGTTATCACGCAAGAACAAATTTGCAGAAAGAAGATCATGCTTGAGATGAGGAACATGTAACACGTGCTTTAATGTAAAAGTTGCAGATGGTGTTTTAAGAGAAGTAGATCCAGTATGAAGAATAGGCAAACCTTGACCGTCGCCAATGTAAACTTTCTCTGGCCCTATGTAAGGCTGAGGATTTTGAAGGTTCTGAATGTTGTTAGTCATGTGGGAGCTTGCTCCAGAGTCTAAGAGTCATGGTGGAGGAGAATAAGCATTAAAGAAAGCATACATGACAAGTTTTGCAGGTGGAATACGCCCTTAGAAATTAGGATTTATGCGATTGACACAATCAATAACAAGATGGCCAGGATCTTCACAGATTTGACAAGGAATGGCCTTAGAATTATTGTTGTAAGAATTATTGGAGCGAAAACCACGATTACCACCACGAGTGTTGTATCGATTGTTTCGATGTCGATTATTAGAGCCTCTTTGATAGTTATTCCGTTGATAATTACCTCGATTTGTATTGTTGAATGAACTGTGATTCTAAGCATTGTAGGCCTGAGGTTGTGAAGGTGTAGGGAGCAGCGGATGAGTATTGGAAGGTGCTGGCACAGAAGTGAAGACCTGAAATGGTTCGGCAGAAGATGAATTTTGTTGTTTCTTGCAAGCAAGAAGCCATAGAGATCATCAATAGTAGTATCAGCAAGGCGAAATTGCATAGAATCTACAAAAGAATTATATTCATCTGGTAAACCATTGAGAATGATGATGAGAAGTTCATGATCATCAACTGGTGCACCAGCAACAGCAAGAACATCAATAATCTTTTTGATGCGCTGTAAGTATTCAGAAATTAAGGAAGTGCCTTTGCTCATGGACTGCAAATCTGATCGCATTTGATGAATGTGAGAGCGAGAAACTCCACAAAAGCGTCGCTCAAGATTTTGCCATAATTCACGTGCAGATTGAACACCGACAGTGAACGAAATAAGATCTTCAGAAAGTGTGGAGTTTAGCCAGATTATGATGTTCTGATCCCTCTCATACCAAGAATCAAAAGCTAGATTTGGAATCGAGGTCAAATTTCCAGAATCATCAGTAAGAAATTGAGGCGGTGGCGGTTCAGATCCATTAATGATGTTGGTGAGTTTGTAATGGCAGAAGATCGGATCGAACAAAGAGGCTAAACAAGATAGTTGTGACGTTTAAGCTTCGTCTGAACCATACTGCCAATGTTTTTTATGGAGATGGAGTTAATTGACGCATGAAAAGAGCAATTAGGGTTTGTGTTCATCGGAGAAGACGAGTTAATGCAGCTGAGAAGAGGGATTTGCAAACACCAGAGAAGGAGCAGGGTTTGCAGTCGTCAGAAAGGAAGAATTCGACGAATTTGCTACCATGGATGAACAAGATTGAAGTGGAAGGTGTACTGTTTGGTTGGTGAGAAAGCTGGAAAGTATTTTCCAGGAAAATAGGATCAAAGGTCGGTGGACTTAGGTGATGGATACCATATTGAGAATGCTGATATTTCATTGATTGAATATTGATAAGTTACATGAGGGTATTTATACTTACACTTTAGAAAAGTAAAAACTATACAATGGTAACTTCCCTAACAAACTGAGTAACAACCTAACTAACATTTGAGTTGTGGTTATTAACCCTACAATTTATTGTAGTAACTTTCTCTTCAACACTAGTTGTGCGAGATCATGCACAACATCTTGCATCATGCATTTCGTAATAATGTCATAGCTAGCCATCCTTTGTAACATTTTGAAAAAAAAGCTCCCCAATAGATTATTCAATCTCCAATTTTATATTATGGAGATTGGAGCAATCCTTAAGCCATCCAAAGTTGGATCAAGCTATTCTTTTCAATCTCAAAATCTTTAAAGAACATTGAGCAATATGCAAAACACTGTTTAAAGCTAGACACCATTACCGATGAATAGCTTCAAAAGCACAAAATCATCAACTAAGTCCAAACATTGAAGATTTGAGCTATGATCTCATGGTTGAGTTTTTAAGCCAATTTTTATGGGGATGAAAATATCTTTTATGTGGAGTTAGTGTTATTTCTTTTATACTATTTAATTATAAACTTTTAGATGTTTAATCATACTATGAACTCCAGTTTTATAATCAAAGTTACCGTTTGTATTGTTCTTACTAATGCTAGGCAAGCAATGTGTTTCTGCTACCCACGCCTCCCGTCACCTCTGTCCCCTCGTCTTTTTTATGAACACGTCGTCAATTATGTTATCGATTTTACTTCAATTTCGTTCTAGTTTTATGTTTTGTTTGTACCGCTAGAACAAGTTGGTTTTGTGTTGCTTTGGCGATTGTATGACCTCGCTGGTTGCGATGGCTTTTATGAGGGCATCGGTGCTACATCCATCACTTGTATCATATTTGTGACAGATAGGAATTTAAAAATATTTAAAATTTGTGCGAATTCTCTTAGGTCATGAGATTGATTACTGGAGAACGTATACCCATCCGACACATTTTGTACTTGGTCATTCTCGGTGATAAAACACTCTAGTCGCTTCTGTTAAGAACAAAGGTACCGTTTGATTTCCTTCGTATTGTCACAACAAGAGCAATCAGCAAAGAAAAACCCATGTATATGGAGAGCACGGGAACTCGCAATCTCTAGAAGGGCCAAAGAAGTTGTCGTCTATTGGTGGATTTAATAAAATAAAGGAAAAAATGGCAGAGCGTTGGCGCTTTATTGCTTGTGAAATGGACTTGCCATCAAACCGGCAAAACAAATACAGCTTTCACTAACCACATATATTTGAATGACCAAAAAAAAACCCACATAGATTTGTACATCTTGTTTGCTACAGTTTCAGAAAATGAATGCCGATACGGTCTTCACTGTTTCTTCAAGCAATTCCTCCCTGAATTTCCCTTTCGATCCTCACCTCAAACCCTCCACCCTCCATTTCTTATTCCATTTTCAAAAAACCTGTAGTCTAAGAAAGCTCCCCAACTACTACCCACACGACCTCCCACCCATCATGTACTCTTCATATATACTGCAATTGCAGCACCTTCGACACGAAAACCCGAAAACCTCTTTCGGTTTTTGGTCGAATTTTAGGGTTCAAAGATTGGGTTTTGAACTTTCAGCTGGGTAAAAAATGAGATCGCAAATGTGGGTTCTTGCTGTTCTTGTTGTTTGTGGTTTTGCTTGTGGAGTTGGAGCTGATCAGACTGTAAGAACAGAGCGGATTTCGGGTATGTTTTTCTTGATGTTTACTTCCAATTAGTTGCAAAGCAGCTTCCTTTTTGCTACATTTGGCTATACAAGGTGTCATTGGTAGGCTGTCAGGTGTTTGAAGAAATGCCCTTTCGGTTATTTCCGATTTAGTCACAGTTCATAAGAAATGTGGAAACTGAGTGATTCTGCAATTTTGCTTTGTCTGATAGTAAAAGGATCAGTATTTTTGGCATTTCTCTTGATGGATTTACTTGTAGGACTATTTTGGGGACACTAGTTTTGATTAGCTCCCAGTTGAGTAGGAGTTTTATTTTTTGATTCAAGCGGTAATCTACTTTAAACTAATCTAAACTGCGGGAGGGAAAATTCGAACACGGTGCATAGGGGGAGAAAAATGTGCTAGGCGACGTGGGTAGGTCCACGTCTGCCCAAGTTGATAGAGGGTTACATTTGAATTTTATATGGGGTTCATACTGTAACTTGTATAAGAGAGACTAATAATGTGATTGTTCATTACATCAAAGATTAACAATTTATGCATGGAAATTGGATAAGAGGGGAACCCAGTTGTGTTCTTGGAAAGATGAACTGTAAGAAGAAGGATTCTTGTGAATGGCTTTAAATTTATGTTCCATAAGCATTTTATTCTGTTTGATCCCTTTTTTTCATTGTTGTTTCCGATTGACTTAATGGAAGAATGATGCAGGAAGTGCTGGTGATGTCTTGGAGGATAATCCAGTTGGAAGGTTGAAGGTTTATGTGTATGAGCTACCTAGCAAATACAACAAGAAAATCCTTCAGAAAGACCCGAGATGTCTCAACCATATGTTTGCTGCTGAGATCTATATGCATCGGTTCCTCTTATCCAGCCCAGTTAGAACCCATAATCCGGAGGAAGCAGATTGGTTTTATACTCCTATCTACCCTACTTGTGACCTCACCCCCACTGGCTTGCCATTGCCCTTCAAGTCACCACGGATGATGAGAAGTGCAATACAGCTCATTTCTACAAACTGGCCTTATTGGAATCGAACGGAAGGAGCTAATCACTTCTTTGTTGTTCCCCATGACTTTGGAGCCTGCTTTCATTACCAGGTAAGACCCTTCAAATTCATAAGTAACCATGATTTTTTGGGGGTTAAACCGTTAAAGAAAAGCAATTTGTGTTGGAACATAAGTTTGCATGAATTTGTAGTTCTGTCAACAAAACCTCACAAAAAATTTCATCCATTCCAATCGAATCATTATTTGCAGAAGTAACAGAAAGTTACTTGTACGAGCCGCGACTAACATGTGGTCTAAATATGTTGGCATTCTGTAGGAAGAGAAAGCCATTAAACGGGGGATTCTTCCGTTACTCCAGCGTGCCACCTTAGTTCAGACGTTTGGACAACGGAACCACGTATGCTTGAAGGACGGTTCAATCACAATTCCTCCATATGCTCCACCACAGAAAATGCAGACGCACCTGATTCCCCAAGAAACTCCACGGTCCATCTTTGTCTACTTCCGTGGTCTATTTTATGACATTAATAATGACCCTGAAGGTGGTTACTATGCAAGGTATGTTTGTCTGGAAAGTGTTTTATCCCTTTGAAATTATATAACATGTTTTCATGTCAACTTAGACTTAAGACTTACATCCATCCATTAACCCTTTTAATTGATTAACAGAGGTGCAAGGGCAGCTGTTTGGGAAAATTTCAAGAACAATCCACTCTTTGATATCTCCACGGACCATCCAACTACATATTACGAAGACATGCAACGATCTATATTCTGTTTATGTCCTCTTGGTTGGGCCCCTTGGAGTCCAAGGCTAGTTGAAGCAGTGGTGTTTGGCTGCATCCCTGTTATTATAGCCGACGACATTGTTCTGCCCTTTGCTGATGCTATCCCATGGGAAGAAATCGGTGTTTTTGTTGCTGAGGAAGATGTCCCTAACCTGGACACAATCCTCACTTCTATTCCACCAGAAGTAATCTTAAGGAAACAAAGATTGCTGGCGAATCCTTCGATGAAATGGGCGATGATGTTCCCACAACCTGCACAACCAGGGGATGCTTTCCATCAGATACTAAACGGGCTAGCGCGAAAACTGCCCCATGATCAAAGTGTTTACATGAAGGATGATGAAAAGGTTCTGAATTGGACAGCAGGTCCAGTGGGAGACTTGAAACCTTGGTAAGGGAAGTGTTACCATTTTGCTTCTCCTTTCGGAATGCTGCTGAATTTTGTATAGGTATTGGCACTGAGCAGACGCTTTTGGGACCCGAATATCGCCGAATCGTTGATGCCTCAGATTTCTTTGTGCCTTTGTCTTGTGTTTTGTCCAGTCCCACTGTACCAAATTGAGAATGTGCTGCCTTGTACTCAAAAACGTAAACTGAGTTTCTTGTTTAATGAATTTTGTACAGGTGCTGCTGTACTCTGAATCTACAATTTTACTTGACAGATCGGTCCTCCTGTTGATTCATGACACAAAAACTTACTTGTATTTTAAAGTGTCGGTGGGGAGTAAGAGTTACTCATAAAATGCTGACGGTATTTCAAACAAATATCGCACTGCTAAGTGTTAGACTTCCACACCATAACAAATTAGTTCAGCCCTTACGCTGTCCCAAGGGTCGGGTCGGATTTGATGGGGTCAAGCAACTAATTATGGTAAAATATTTGGCGAATCAACTCCAACCCCGACTCCATTTTGGCCCTATGACTAATTGTAATTAGATTATAATTATGTCCAACCTTCAAAGCTCTATTCTACCTACCACATCCACAATCCGCATGGCTGCGATTATGAGTGTGACAATGTTTATTCTGGTGACATCGCTTAGTTGTGATCCGTTATAATTAGGGGTTGAACGTTTTTTTAACATAATAATGGATACCATAGTAATTAAATATTATAGTGCGGATTGAGTGTTCCTCAGCCAATCGTGCTTTTCCTTTTCAAACATTGAACGAACATGGATGGTCGACATACCTGAAAGTCCAGCTTCAATTATAGCGGCTTCTCAAATATTACCAATTTCTGCACAATATGACTCAAAATTGGCTTCTTTTTCATGTACAGTTATATACTTGCACGCGACATCTACATATTTTTCTACTTATTTTCTCTTAATATTTTTAGAGTAATATTAGGGAGATCAAAAATTTTAAATCAAATTGCAAACTAAATGATGTGTCACCAACACGAATAAGCATGTTTATCAACGTGTGTATAATAAATCAACCATCAACTTTTATATTCTTTAATTTTCAAAGTATGATATTTGTAGCATTACTCATATTTTTAAGTAGAAAAAGGAAAATGACGTCATTATTGAGTAAGCGTTGGCACCTGCAGATTGAAAGCCACGCAGCAGCTAGCCACCAAAAGCTCTAGTCACTAGCAACTGTTCCCATCGTCGCGATTGAGTCCTTGTCTTCAACCTGCCGTTCCGAGTCTACAGAAAATCACCTAAAAATATTTAAAGAATTTTAACGAAAAGTTCTTGTACTGTTTATTTTAACTAAAAATTATTTTTTTACACTAAAAATTTAATTTTTGTATTATTCACTTTACCCTTATTTTATCATTATCGTTAAAATTCAAAATTTTCTAAACATTTTCATTAATTTTTCTAAATATTTAACGCCAAAAAATAAAAAATAAAAATAATTTCTTCGTTGGTATCGTAAATAAATATAAAAGGCCCTTTCCTCAGTTATCAATCAGTCTTCGCGTCTTCACCAACCCCCCACTCTCTCCCCCTTCTCTGTGATCCAGGAATGGCGGCTTCCGTTTCCAAGCTCTCCAATCCCACCCCTGCTTCCTCCTTGTCCTCCACCTTCAGCCCCAGAACGCCGCAGCCCAGGTGTTTGATCCGCCTCCTCACCACCCCCGGCTCCACCTTCAACTCCAAACTCTCCTCCTCCAAGCTCTCCGTGCGAAGCAAGCCCTCTCTGCGGGGCTCTCTGGTGTAAGTCTCCCCCTTTTTCCGATTGCATATTGTCTAGGTTTTTTTTTAATTTTTTATGAGAAGCTGGATTTGAGCTTTGTTTCATTTGCTTGATTTTGTATTTTTTGTGTTGAAAGTTGAAAGTTGTGTTCTTTACTCTTCTGGGTTGCTGATTGATTGTGAAATTTGAGTCGAAAAGTTTGTTTATTTATTTTTTTGATCTTTTATTGGTAGGGTGAGGTGTTCTCAGAGTGATGGAAATGGAAGTCCGGTGAAGAGAACGTATCTGCATGATCTGTACGAGAAGGAAGGGCAGAGTCCGTGGTATGATAACCTTTGCCGGCCCGTGACGGATCTGCTTCCGCTCATCGCAAGCGGGGTTCGAGGTGTAACCAGTAACCCAGCGGTGATTACTCGTTTCTTTTTTGTTTTTTGAACCTTACTTAATGTGTTGACATGCATGGATGATGTTTTTATTGGTTTGAGATCAAATGAGAAATGGGGTTGGAAGTGAAACAGTCAAAATGTTAGCCGAGTATTATTTCTTTAAGCATGTCTTTTTGCAGTTTTAGTGTGTTATCCGCAATCTGATATAACTAACTCTATATAATGTATGATTGCAGATTTTCCAGAAAGCAATCTCAACTTCAAATGCTTACAACGATCAATTCAGGTATTTTCAATGCTTTTCTTCGTCGGAAGGTTTTATATTTCAGGTAGACGGGTCATGGCCCACTCCAACAAGACCGATACTGTCCCCACTTGGCCACCTGCTTAATCCGTCAGGTGTGGGGTTTTAATACAAAAGGTCTCGGTGTTAGTTAGAGTGGGTGTTAGTTAGAGTGGGGTAATTCTATATAAATGGCTTGTTCTCAAGCCCCCCATTCATCTTAAATTTCAGGTAGACGGGCCATGGGTCCACTCCAAAAATACCGATATTGTCCCCACTTGGCCACCTGCTCAATCCATCAGGTGTGGGGTTTTAATACAAAAGGCCTCGGTGTTAGTTAGAGTGGGGTAATTCTATATAAATGGCTTGTTCTCAAGCCTTCTGGCCGATGTGGGACAAAGGAATTTTAACATAAGGGGTTGTAGTTGGGGTATTTTTAAGTGGAATGGCGTGTATAATCTATTGGACTTTATAGATTTATCAGTTGTGCTAGTAGAGGATCGTACCGCATTAGAAATAATATGTAGAATGTTTGCAGATGGAACTCTGTTGAGTTTCTGGTTATAAGCTCTTGGCGTCTCGGATGGGAAAGTTGAAAATTTGTAATCGGCATACCCCTTGACGCCCCTTGTCCATATGTTAATAACTGAAGTTAATGGAATTTGCAGGGAACTTGTACATTCAGGAAAAGACATTGAAAGTGCATACTGGGAACTGGTGGTGAAGGACATTCAAGATGCTTGCAAACTTTTTGAGTCAATCTATGATCAAACTGATGCTGGTGATGGTTATGTTTCTGTTGAAGTTTCTCCCAGACTTGCTGATGACACTCAAGGGACTGTCGATGCTGCAAAATGGCTGCATAAAGTAGTTGCCCGTCCTAATGTCTACATAAAAATTCCTGCAACTGCTCCATGCGTTCCTTCAATTAAGGAAGTTATTGCAAATGGCATAAGTGTCAATGTGACTGTAAGTGCAATTCTACTATACTTATTATTTTTTCCTCTTTTTGGGGTGAAATGCTTTGAACTTTACTAAGAATAGGTGGCCGACAAAGTCTTACGAAAGTGCGTCTGATTAGAACATAAGTTTGTGTTGTGGTATGGTTGGGCTTTTCATGGGTGATTATTTTGATAGTGTAAATGAAATCTACGTGATGCGCTATAGTTGTCATAAGTTCTTGCGGGCAAAGTGATCTTTGTTCTTGTTGGGCCTTTTTAATGAGAGGAAGTTTTCAAGGGAAGGTGGCATCATCTCTCATTTTTACTGAACTATTAGTATATAATGAGATTGCAATTCCCTTATTATAGAAGTGTTAACTCATACTTTCTCTTAATGTGTCCCCACAGCTTATATTCTCACTCAGTAGATATGAGGCGGTGATTGATGCTTACTTGGATGGCCTTGAGGCTTCTGGACTAAGTGACCTTTCCAGAGTCACAAGTGTTGCTTCCTTCTTTGTCAGTAGGGTGGACACCCTCATTGACAAGATGCTTGAAAAGATTGGAACTCCAGAGGCCCTTGACCTTCGAGGAAAGGTAAATCAAAATCAGATGTTCAACTCTTTGTTTTTTAATCATGAACAAAAACCTTGAAGCTGAGATTTGCTAACGTGATGAGTTCACTGTTTCAGGCTGCAGTAGCTCAAGCTGCTTTGGCATACCAACTCTACCAGAAGAAATTCTCTGGCCCTAGATGGGAGGCGTTGGTGAAAAAAGGTGCTAAGAAGCAGAGGCTGCTTTGGGCCTCAACTAGCGTCAAGAATCCTGCCTACCCCGATACTTTATATGTTGCTCCTCTCATAGGCCCTGACACGGTGAGCCATCCTGTAGTCCAACCTGATTTCCGGTGCTTGATGGTTATTATTATTATGGTTTTACATCTGCAACGATATATTACTTGCTTAAATAGACTTTAGATTGAAATTTTACCATGTCAACGTTGATTCATATTGCTTAATATTTGATGCTGACTTTCCTTTTGTAGGTTTCAACCATGCCAGACCAAGCTCTCCAAGCATTTGTCGACCACGGCACAGTTTCAAGGACAATTGATTCAAATGTATCCGAGGCTGAAGGCATATACAGTGCACTGGAGAAGTTAGGCATCGACTGGAGCTATGTTGGGAACCAACTCGAAATTGAGGGAGTGGATTCTTTCAAGAAGAGTTTCGACAGCCTGCTAGACACCCTGCAAGAGAAGGCCAACTCTCTTAAATTGGTTAGTCTGTAAGATGCAAGATGTGGGTGAGAAGTACTTGTATGAGTTGAATAAAGCTGGTGGGGGTTGTCGTCCTGTAAATTTAGCCGGGTGCTTTGTAAGACGTTAAAGTTGGTTACATTTTGCTCTTGCACTTGGGGTTTGGCATTGTTTTCTTTTTCCTTCCCCCACTCTATGAAAGTGAAGCTAGTAGACCTTCCGAAATGTTCGTTTCATTTGAATTTGAGAATCATGGGCCATCAAGTAGATGATGCTCAGCGTTAGTCTCGGCAAGATTTTCCATTTTTGCTCGCAAATTGTACCGCGAAGCTTAAGGGTCTGTTTGGTACTCTACTTGAATCTAATTTTTTAAACTCAAAAACAATTTTCAAGTTTTAGGTTTTATGTTTTAAAATCTTGTTTGGTATGACTATTTTCAAAAACTGAACTCGAGACTAACAAAAAAATATAGTCTATTATCTAAAAACATAAAAAGTGAGTTTTTAAAGTATTTAAACTTAAACTCACTCATTTATTTTGTCTCTCCTCCCCTCTCATTCCAAATTTATCTCTCTTTTCTTCTTTCTCTCTCATCTTTTATTTATTTTATTTTTATTTTTACTTTTTTCGTCTCTCCTCCAATCTGCTCTCTTTATTCTCTCGGTTCTTTCTCTCACTCCTATTCCTCTTTGTCTCGTCCGATCCTCACTCTTCTTTCTCTTTCCTTCAATCATCTATTACTTTCATTTCTCATCTCTCTCCCTCTTTTGCGACCCCCTCTTTTTAAATATATTTGTCTAGTTTAAATCGTAAAATTTAAAAATTTTAAATCACAAATCAATCAAGTTTTTGAGTCTTAAAGAAAATTGTTTTCAAGAAATGTTCTTAAAAAATATTTTGAGAAATGATAAAAAATTTCAAATAGGATACCAAACAAGTCCTAAAATTCTTGAATCCGATTGCCGAATTTTAGGTTACCTTCAAACTAATGGAGAGATTCAAGTATACAGTGTATGGACTTCCTTGTTTTCATTTCATTTTTCATCGAAAGTAAACGCTCTTGTTGAACTATGTACCAAGGGAAGAAAGAAATACACATAATTAGAAAAATATTATGTTATTGAATTATCAATCTGAATTGTTGTTGAAATATGTTATTCGTGACTGTTACTTTGATTGACAATATTATTCGATTAAAGGAAAGAAAACTGAACTTAATACAAGTGGCGAACACCTTGATCTAACTGTCTGGTCTAAATCAGCCAAAAAAAAAAAAAAAAACTAAAACTTGGTAAATGTTTATTTTTGTTACACGTCCAAATAAAATTAGATAGTGCTGATTAATTCAAGCAATAGGTTAGTCATAATAATTTAATATTGAATTTTTTATTTATAGCATTACATGAAAGAAAAAAAGAACTAATATTATATACATATTATTTAATTTAAGAGTAAATTGTAGTTACGGTCCTTTAACTTTAACTCAATTGGAGCAATGGTCCCTCAATTAAAAATTCATTACCATTGGTCCCCCAACTCATCAAAAAGTCCAGCTATGATCCCTCAACTCAAAATTCATTATCATTGGTCTTCAACTTTAATTCAATTGGAGAAATGATCCTTTAATTTTAACCCAATTGTAGCAATGGTCCTTCCAATATAACTCATTTTGACAAAAATTTTGACGTAGTTGACGAAAATGACCATAATTACACACTTTGATGAGTTGAGGGACCCTAATTATATAAATGGTTATTCCAACATAACTTATTTTGACAAAATTTTGACGAAATTGATGAAAATAACTATAACTACACATTTTGATAAATGAAGGGACCAATGGTAATTGAATTTTAATTGAATGATCATTGCTACAATTTACTCTTTAATTTAATTTAAAGGAGAAAAGAAAAATGAAAAATAGAGGGGTTGAGCCAGACAAGTTGAGGCTGTTATCTTGCCGCGAAACGCATTCCCTGGTTCCCCAGTCACCACATCACAGTCCCACCCTTTTCTCTCCCTAGTCGAGTAGCACCTGCCACCACACCTACAATGTCTTCAATCTCAGCCGTCCGGTCTCCACCGCGGCCTCCGTCCTCACCCGTCGGAAAATCTTCAACCCCGATACGTCGTTTCGTGCTAAACTTCCCTTCTATGCGCCAGAGACGCCGCGGACCCCAATCTCATCTTCTTCCTGAAGCGGAGAAGTTTTCCGATTCAGGTGCAGGCGGTAAGTACATCAACCATGGAATATCTATTTTTAATTCGTAAATTGGCCAAATTTTGAATGAATTTTCAATCTTTGATCAAGGTGGAAGCATTCTTATCGAGCGAAGAAGTGTTGTGTTTTCATCGGTTGGCATGGTGGCTGCAGCTTTCTGTAATGCTTCAAAGGACGTAATTGCCCTCGCGTCTCAGTTTACTGACAGTGAGTCATTTCCTATTTCCATTGCCCGAAAGGTTAGCGATTTTGACACTCTCCTGTTTTAGCCTCTGCAATCCTTCTGTGACTGTGAGTGCCAAAACATAACATCGTAAATTATTCAGTTTCGAGTGCGGATGGCTAAAAATACGGGGAGTGTCGAAATCCCGTCCTTGAATAACCATGCTCATAAGTCATAGTCATATATATAATATATTTGTATGAGTGCAACGAGTGTATATCCTGTTGTTCGTATCTCTCTCCTCACGTGACATATCATGTGATGAGATAGACATGCACAAGTGTGTCACTTGAGGAGAGAGAGAGTGGCATAAGACATATCATGCGACGAGAGATATATATGTACTTTTGCTTTTTCTCACATTGTTTGTTGCATTTGTGAATGTTTGGGAACCACTTTCAGTGCCAGCACTTAGGGGGAAGGACTATGGCAAGTCGAAAATGAGTTATCCGGACTATACGGAAACTGAATCAGGTCTTCAGTACAAGGTTAACTACTACTGGAACATACAAAAGTTTAGCCTCCTTGTTTTTATTGAGTTTCCAGCTCTCCGAAGTTTGCTTTAGTTATTTCGTTGAATGATTTATCTAAGAAGGAATGCAGGACTTGCGAGTAGGAGATGGCCCCAAACCGAAGGTGGGAGAGACCGTTGTGGTATACCACTCATTCTCCGAGTGCACACTTTCAAGCTTTCACATGTTGCTAGGGTTTCTGTGTAGGATTAAGCCAATTTTGTGCAATGAGTTTGTCTCTGTCGTATACAAACGTTTGAGCATATTTCTGGTTGATTGGATGGATTTCAGGTTGATTGGGATGGATACACCATAGGATATTATGGACGTATCTTTGAAGCTCGAAATAAAACAAAGGGCGGTTCATTTGAGGTATGGAATACTTCTCATCGGTTAACTTGGTATTGCCTAAGCTTAACTAACCGATTAACAGATTCCATTCCACGGTTTCTCAAATGCAGGGTGATGACAAGGCCTTTTTCAAATTCAGGGTAGGATCTCAAGAGGTGAGAAATTTGTGACCCAATCGAACGAAACAATCTTGAATGCTCTGATCTGTGGCCTCTAATGATGACGTGGTTATCTTCAGGTAATACCAGCTTTTGAGGAATCCATTACAGGCATGGCTCTTGGAGGCATTAGAAGGTGCTGCATATTCTTTTCCGTAGCTCGTTGTATTTGCTCAAGGAACTTTCAAGTGGTTACATTGAATGTTATTTGCAAATTTCACAATGTAGCTCACAGTGATGCAGGATCATAGTGCCCCCGGAATTGGGATATCCAGACAATGACTACAACAAGAGTGGCCCAAGGCCGACAACATTTTCGGTAAATCTTATGTCTTTCTGCCGATTCATATAATCCAGTTCCGCTTTGTTCTTACAATGTGCAATGTTCACGCGTTACAGGGCCAACGAGCCTTGGATTTCGTGCTGAGGAACCAAGGGCTGATCGACAAGACTCTTCTGTTCGATATTGAGCTCATCAAGATCATACCAAACTGATCTCCTTTCAAATTCAACGTTTCTCACAGGAAATCGATTAGCTGTTTAACAAATACGGCTTATTTATCGTAGAGTTTCTTATTCCGGATGCCAGAAATATCGATTAGCTGAGAAAGTTGACGGATTACCATAATACCATCAGATTTGAAGTAGAAACTTCATTTCTGCGAAGTCAAAGAGTTCACAATTATTTGATAAGCTTTTTGTAAAATTAACTTTTCATGCAGTATATCTGTATAGTGGTGGATTACAGTGTACAATTTAAGCTGGATTTGTGCATTAATTTCTTGTATACATGTAACCCTTTTTTTGGGCTGAGGAGAACTTCGAACGAGTACGGCTAGCCGGAGAGTTGAAGTAAATCCAAAGTTCTGTTAAGAGCTACAATCTTCATCATAAATTAATGGCACTAAACAAGATCCATAATCTAATAAAAGTGCAAATCATCAACAGTTAATTGCAAAACGAGGAAGAAAATCGACGACCGAAAACAACCTAAGAGAACAAATTATTTAAACCCGCAGATCACCCAAAAAGTCATTGCCATTATTCAACTGAAAGCTCCCGACGCTTGTACCGCACCATCACCTTTCCTTTCACACCCACAACCATGGCATTCCAATCCGTCTCGGGAAATGGCGATACCAGCTCCAGTTCAAAATTTCTTAGCAGGTGGCTCCATATAGCCTTTATTTGCAGGTATGCAAAAGGCTCACCAAGGCATCCATGCCTGCCACCTCCAAACGAGATGTATGAGAATGCCCCTGCTGACTTGTCTTCTTCTCTCCCAGCAGCAAATCTATCAGGATCGTAGGTGTCTGGCTCCTTGTAAATATGAGGAAGCCGGTTGGCAAAAGATGGTGACGCGGCTACTATGTGCCCCTTCGGGATATCATACTCCTTCCCCTCGCGGGTTTTTACGCTGAAATCACTATGCGAGCTTCGCAGCAGAATGATCAGTGGAGGGTGCAATCTGAGAGCTTCCTTGATGCAACGATACAGGACATCCATCTCTGCCAGTATATCATGATCAACCTTCTTTCCATGCTTTTTCATTATGTTTTTCTGCTCCTCTGACACAGCAGATAAGAACTCCTTGTGACGGAGGAGATAGGCCCCGGTCCAAGTGGAAGTGATAGAGCTAGTGTGTTGCCCAGCAAAGAGAGCAGCAATGAGCAAGCCAGTGACCTCAGATTCAGTTGTTGGTCGGCCATTTTTGTACTTTGAGTCAATGAAGCATTGCAACATGTCATTCTCAGACTGTGCAGCACGCTTACGGGAATTTATGATCTCTGCAAAGATATCTGAAAGCTTCTTTCGGGCCTGGTCACGGCGGCGGTGAGCTGGGATGGGAAGGTATGGGAAGATGACACTGATAGGAAGCATGCCATTGTCAAGGTCATGGAACAATGCGGAAACATCATCAAAGAGCTTATTACGAACTTCTCGACCCAAAAGGCATCTGCTGGCGGTCAATATGATCAGATGCTCCAGCTCATATTTTAAGTCCACCTCGCCACTGTCTCCCCACTTGGAAAAGTAATCCTGCACAGTACAGTTGGAAGACAAGAATTAACATCATGGACAAGAAACAATGCACAATTTAAACAGCACAAGCATTTGTGTATTTAGATTGAGTAATACTATAGAAGGAAATGATGAAAGCTTCAGTCGTCCCTTGCATCTAATTGATGTTTTGGGGTGTTTTATTTCCTTTCAGATTCAGAGAAACCTAAAGGGAAAAACTAACCATGCCCTTTGCGATACATATTTTGTACAAGAAGTTAATGAAAATAACTATGCCAATACTGAGGGCTACTCGCAACATGAATCACACAGCATGATTGAAGAACCAACTAGAACATAGTCCATCTTTACTCACCGGAAAGTTCCCCAAAACACAGACACACATATTTTTCCATTTTCCTTGAAGATTTAAGCACTGTTAAGTCACTTCATAGTTCATACTAATTCCTTTTATTTATTTCTATTTTTCAGGAAAGGGTCTATAATGCGTACATTTTCCTCTCACATAAGAAACAATCATATATTTGACATGTGGTCTGCACAATCTGAATCTGATTAAATTCAGAAAAGAAAGTAAAATATCCTGATGAGCACGCAATGCTAGTTGCCCACACTTGAAAATGACTACCCCACGAAAATATAAAATAAGACTCAGAGAAATCTTCCCAGGTGAATCAAGCTCATGGGAGACTCGTAAAGCACTACTGTCCTTTCAGTTTAAAACAAATTCAGGTTAGCTGCCACGGTTTTATCTTTCTAATCAAATTTAACATTAAGGAAAGAGAAAAATATCTGGTTTAAGGACTCTCATTCCAATCAAAGTTCCTTACAAAACTTGCAAGTCCCAGGATACTATTTGGGCGAGTGGAAGAGAATTGTGCCGTAGATCACATTTCATATTGCTACTTTCTTAAGAATATAAAGTATCTTCTCTTTTGGAAACATAAATAAATTACTAAACGAGTTGAAGGCTGAAGCAATCAGATAAACAACAACACGGGCAAAATTCCAATCAAACGATGATTTTCAACCGAAACACTAACCTCTGCTTCTGTAACCATCTGATCCACATATCCCTTAAGCTTATTTACCCTGAGAGCCTCCGTGAAGAACCTAAACTGCTCCTGTCTCACCGTGTAATCCACATCGAACACAACTCCAGGGCCGAAAGTGGGCACATTGAACTGGTATACCTCCTGCTGGCTAAGATCAGCCTCCGAGGCCTTGAAGAAGTGGGCAGAAACCTCAGGACCAATCAAGAAAGTGATCTTCTTGTTAAGCAGATTCAATGTGAACACACTCCCGAGCTTCGGGTACTCTTCACGAAGCATGATAATGGGGCCTTTCAAGAACCGGAGCAGTCCTCCCAACACAGGCCACGTATTCACCACCGGAGGAAGACGCTTCCCGGATCGAGACATTATAAGCGCTGAGATCAGCTTGGCCACCACCAGAGTGGCCAAAATCATCAGCCCCACACTGAAAAGCTTGTTATCCATATCCATTGTCACCATAATTTGGTCCACTTACAGGGACCTAACAGCAAAGTTCACACAGAAACGCAGAAAATTAGCAGCTATTAAATTAACACTACCACTCACCACCAATTCTAACGAAAACACAACAGAAATTTCACAACTTTTAACAGTAAATTTCGAGTAGATCTAAATTTGAGCACAAAGAAACGAATTTATACAAGTCGTCCGTCAGGTTGCGGGAAAATTGAATCAGAGCTTCCATTTTCCCGGCAACCAAACAATCAAGGAGTGAAAAGGAAACCAGAACCTGGTTAAAAATGCATCAGATTAATGAAAAACTGAAGCAGAACGACAATGCATGAGAGAAGGTAATGACGAAGGAATTTGGGATAAGAAAGAGGGAATTAGGGTTTCGTACCTGATTGCAGATTGGAAGGCAGAAAAGATAGGAGGAGAAGGACAGTGAAGACCCGAAACTCTGGTCGAGTAGTGTGAGAGGTACTGAGTTATTATATACAACTCTGGATAGTCCGCTTCCACTACAAATATTTCAAATTATTTTACTATTTTTTGTTGGAAAAAATATTATTATTATTCTCTTCTTTTTTTTTTGAGTTGAAATATTATTCTTTTTAATAGAAATTATCTAAAGGAAGACTAATGAAAATGGTTTGAAAACTTTAAGTTTTAACGATAAGGACAAAATAAGGAGTGAAGTGAATAGTACCATGATTGACTTTTTAGTATAAAAATATGGTTTTTCATTAAAGTGAACAGTACCGGGAGCTTTTCGTTAAAGTTCCCATTATCTAAACTATGTACTACTAAAACATTTTGTCAATAAAAAACTAATAAAATTACTACTATACCCTTTAATACAAACTGAAGGAGATATTAGAAAAGAGAACAACGTGACCATTAAGATAATTTAATACAAACAAATTTTTACTGTTTTTTTTCTAAAACTCACAATTGTGTCACTTTATCAATACGCTCTCAAGTCATTCTCTCTCTCTCTTTCTATCCTAACTGCCATCCCCTATTTTTTTGAGATGCGTGCCAACTTGTTAAAAACAAATATCTCCCTTCATAAAAAAAATAAAAACAAATATTATATTTCTCAACACACAGAGTGTGACCTTTACTAATTTTTAATAGAGACAAACTATATCATCTACATTAAGGACTAAGGAGTCCTAGAGTGGACTAATTCTTCCTAAATGGTGGTGGAGTGGACTATATTATCAAACTTATGACATTTTACTTACCAATAAAGTAGAATGCTATTTGCCCGAAATACTATCAGCACCTCGGGTTCAAACATTTTGTCTCCGCTTTATCAAAATCAGGCAAGGAAAAATTGTTAAAGTTGCTCTAACGTCAAAAGTGATATTTAACATTAACAATTATAAGTGAGAAGTTTAAAATTCATCTCTCCTAAACGGTATTGATTTGTTTACCATTATGTTTGAAAACAGTACAAGTGCTCGTTGGATCTGGAAAACAGTGGGTCGATGACAAAAGCTGTTTGTCGTACACGTGTGTGGTTTTAATTGGTTATAGGAGATTTATATCAATTTAGCACGTGGCTGCTGCCTAGTTGGGTTAACAAAAAGGAAAACGACAAAAACATAAGTAGCAACTGGAGCATTGATAGACGATCCCGGAGAGAGAATGGCGGGAGGGATCAGCATGTCATTGTCAGGACGAGTAGCCCATGGGTGGAGGAGATTCTTCCTCGCTGCGTTCTGGGCCTCGGCCCTTGGGCAAATGGTGATAATATTATGGATACGGATAGCCAATAAGAGTTCTTAGTTCGATTCTCGTTAATAGCGAATTTGAACTAAATTATTACTAGCCCATTATGTGGCTTAACCTACTTCCCCCACTTTCTAATGTAGATAATATCATTTGTTCGAGAAAAAAAATGTTGTTTCTGCACATCTGGGGTAAATCAGTTGATCAAAACAAACTTGCGTTCGCATATGTGGAATGCTCATAGCAATTTTGTTGCATCAAAGAGTTGGTAAGATACCCATGAGGCCCATATGGCGCCTTACCGTAGTGATAGAAAGCAATCATATTTTTGCACCTTGTCCAACCCCACAAACTCCCTCCTCTCAACAACTAATAATTAACCCACATACACTGTATGTTAAAAAAAGTAAGGCATTATACGGATGAAGGAACAAAAAATAATACTATGGCCAGCAAATGAAATCTAGAACAGACACAACATTATGCATGTGGCCACCAGAGTCACCGTGGTGTTGTATCCGTGACATGAAAGTTGCTCTCCGGACATAGAGACGCCAGCAACAGAACATTATACTCTGCCTAGAATCCAGACCCAAGAGCAAAGGAAGAACCAATCAAGAGAATTTCAAATTAGGCTTCAATAATTAATGGAGATTGAACTACAAACTTTATATAATTAGAAGCCTGGGAAGCACAAAAGTTGGATGCACACTTTGTAATATTGCTTCTAGTGTCTGCCCAAACTCAAGAGCAACAGAGTACTGATTACTTCATCCTCCACCAAGATTCATTTTGCATAACGCATTTTGAAAAAAGAAAACCCTCTGATAGAGACATCAATTCTCATGTTCGATTTTCTTCCTTGATCTACTTTGATGAGGTTGTTGTCCTGAAGAAGCAACTACCCCATCACATTGTCCTCAGTCGGTGACTCCACTACGTCGCCCTGAATTTTGGCCAGAGTGGTTCAAGGACCTCGTAGGTTCAGGCGCACGCCTCTTTTTCCGAAGCTGTGATGGCTCTCCAACACCAGATATGGAGCTTTTTTGTCTGCTGCTATGAGTTGGGGTTGGATGCCCACCTACTGTCCGTGACATTGTCGGCATAGAACTTCGTGTAGGAGTTGCAAAACTATGGGGAGAACGGGACATTCCAGATGATATCTGCTGAATTTTCTTCAACTGTTTGGACTTTAGTTTTTCTTCAAGTTCACTAGGTTCCGGATAGTACACGAGAGAAACATTCCGTGAAATCTTCCCAGCTGCCAAATCATAAACAAATTCAATATATGATAGTAACAAAGCAGGAAGCACAAAGGTCATTGCAGTAAAGACAGCCACTGGCAACAATCACGGTAACAACAATTTTATCAAGATATTATCCACAAAGAAAACCGTTTGTCATCTCAACCATTATGACTAAAATACCATAAAGCAAATAAAGGTCGTACCCAGTGCACAAGGCTCCCGCTTTACGCAGGGTCTGGGAGAGGTGAATGTCGGCTAGCCTTATCCCCATTTATGGAGAGGCTGCTCCCAAGTCTCGAACCCGAAACCTACCGCTCATGGGCGAAGGCACTTGCCATCGCACCAAGTGCGACCTCAAAATACCATAAAGCAAATGCAAGGCTAAATACTAGACTTCGTAATAGAACTTCATGTGAGCACATAAAAAGGGAAGCTACTGATCACCTGTACTGGTTAAGAAAATAAGATATATGAAGAACCTAAACACAAACATATTTAGCTAGATACAAGCCAAATGAAAAGTTTTTAGGAACAAATGGGACATGGATGATGAATGTATCATAGTCAGCACAACATAATTCAAATTGGTTATATTTTGACAGAACATCAAACTGTAATGCCAAGGATCCGTCCCAATTGCTAAACATTAAGAAACTGAAGGTAAGCATAAGAACCGAAACTGAGATTAATATGTGTCCTGTAGATTCTTAATATGAAAGGTTTCAAGCTTACCAACTTTTGTGCCTGACACAGACGATACAAAAACTGTAGCATCTGGCTTTTGAGCTGTACTTTGGAGATCATATTCTTTGCCTAGCAGCATTAGAAACTTCATATCAGCACTCAATTGTAGAACAGAAATATGCATTGCAGAGTCATACCCACATGAACTCCTTTGGCTATTGAAATTAAATAGATAAATGATATGTGTATCTATAACTCTAACATGCCTCTTCTATCACTAAAGTTTATGTAATATTACCGGATGGACCAACAAAACTGCCCAACTCTCCATCAGGACCAAGCTTGAGTGAAACTTCTTGGCTAAAATCTGGATTCTGCAACACCATCAAATAATAAATAGAAACTCGATAACCGACAACGATCACATTAAAAACAACACCACCACCACTGATTCTAATGAAATTAACATTACTCTTCCACTGTAAGGACCACGAGGCCATGGAAGTCAATTCCTAACAGCTAGCTGGTATGAGTACTTAAGAGGGCAACAAACAAGTTGATAACTAGTTGGTATAAGTACTTAAGAGGGCAACATTATGTTCAACAAAAAATTGGGTATTCCCATTAGTTCACTGCAAAACTTATTCCCAAACAAGAAACCAATTTTCAAAACTACAAACTTACAACTATGGCATTGCTCTTTATGGTGAACATGAAAACATGAGTCCTAAATAAAAGTATTAGAAAAGAACCCCGAAACCAAAAAGCAGCATACTTGATCTTTCGGCCAAGAAATGAGCCAAAGCTCTGTGGAGTCGTTCATATTGATATCCAGAAGTGGTTCTTTAGCAACTTCGGAAAACTCCGGTGGAGGTTTGTAGCCCTCAGCCACACCAACTTTACCCGAGTTTTTTGCCTCCATCTATCTCCCAGCTCAGTTCACAAACTCATGCAGCGCTTCTACAATTCAAAGAAAGAAAGATAAGCAACAAGATAAATAATAACCAAATGAATACTCGTTCAAACATTTTGTCGAACACCTTAAGGGCAACTTCACAAGTTACAATTTTTGGATTAGCGAAGCTTAAACCCTAGAAGTATGGGGTTGGGAAAATTGAACAATGAAGCTATAAGAAGAAGAAGAGTACCAGTGTAAGAATAAGCGGTAAAGAAAATAAGGGGCAAGCCTCTGAGGCAGTTCTAAATTTTTTCACCCTTCTCTCCCGCCCTAGTATGGTAGTTACCCTTAAGATCTACAAATTTGTTGGGTTGTAATGTGCTGAGTTTGAATTAACAACCCAACCTGAACCCGACCCAATCATAAAATTTATTTTTTATTATTTTTAGGTTTTTTAAGCTAAAATGGCCAATTGTTTATTAAATTGAGGATATTCTTGTCATTTTAGTACTTATTTAAGGAGATTTTTCACAAAATTACCAAAATAATAATGGGAACTTTAATGAAAAGCTCTCGATACTAATCACTTTAACAAAAAACCATATTTTTACACTAAAAAATCAATCCTAGTACTATTCACTTTACCCTTTATTTTGTCCTTATCGTTAAAACTCAAAGTTTTCAAGCCCTTTTCATTAGTTCTCCTAATAATTTATGGTGGACAAACTCAGGACCACTTCTATCGATTTCAATTCTCTGTGACCCGAGTGAGAAGTTATGCCAATTTTAGGAACATTTTGGCTATATGATTAGAGGTTGGGTTGTCAATCCAAAATCTGCCCATTAAAACCAACCAATTGTGTTGTATTTATCATAGCGATTTTGTCAAAACAAGAAATGGGGCATTATAGATCTTAAGGTACTACTAGGCCGAGAGAAAAGCGAAAAAAAAAGGGGTGTGATATCCACACACCCCATTTTACTTCTCACACACCCTTCTAATTTTCGGCCGTCGGATCGGATGAATTGAAGAAGATCAACGGATAGAAATTAACAAGGGTGTGTGAGAAGTAATTTGGGGTGTGTGGATAGCACACCCCAAAAAAAAACGCAGAGCTGCACTAGAGACTTGCACCTTGTTTTCTTTACCGCACAAGCACATGCTCCTGCTTTCACAAAAACATAAAATAAAATAAAAGCACATGCTCCTTATTTCCCCAATCGCAAACTTGTAGACTTTAAGCTTCTCCAATCCAAAAAAAAAAAAAAAAAAAAAAAAACGTACCCTTAAGGTGTTCGACAAAATTGTAGTATTCATTTGATTATTATTTATCTGATGCCATGATGACATTATTCTTTGGAAGAGTGATCTGGGAGGAATCCAGACATTATTATATAAGAAAAAAATGAAAAGCAATCTGGAGAAGGAATAATTTCACACTTCACAGATACAAGAATCGGTAATTCATCATGAAAGCTTGAAGATTTAATCCTATAGCAACCTTTACCCACACTTTCTCAGCAATAAAAAATTCAATCTCAAGATTTAATCCTACAGGAACCTTCACTCATATTTTCCCGCAAGTTCATAGGAATCAGAAATATCAGCAATACAATTATCTCAAAAATTATCTGAAACACAAATTCCTAGAACAAAGACATAAATAGACAAGATGCAAAAATGCAATCGAAAATATAGAGAGAGGGAATACGTTATAGGTTCGACTTCTGGTTGAGCGGCGAGGAGAAGCCGGCGAGGTGTGAGAGTGAGACGGCGAGCGGCAGCGAGTCAGCGACAGCGAGTTCCTCCTCGGCGAACTCTGGATCAATCGATTCTTCAAAGACGGCGAAGACTGAGAGGAGTGCTATGAGAGTGAAAGAGAGAGGAATTCGCGGAGGTTGGGAAGGAGAGGGGCGTAGATAGGGTTACCAAAGTCTGAAGGGGATAATGGGATTTAGGTATACGACGCCGTTTCATGGTATAGGTATATTAAGAGAATTTTAACGGAAATCTCATTTTAATAAAAAATCATATTTTTACACTAAAAATAAATCCTGATACTATTCACTTTACATTTTATTCTGTTCTTATAGTTAAAACTCAAAGTTTTTACGCCTTTTTCATTATTTTTCCTATTAATGATTATTAGGTTTCAAAATATTTTGAAATACTTCGGTTTGGTTTGGTTTCTGAATCCTTGAATCTAAAACCAAACCAACAGATTTCAGTTCAATTTCTGAACTACTCAATTCGAAACCAAACCAATAGATTTCAGTTTGGTTTTTTTTTTTTCAGTTTGCTTTCTTTAGCTTCGGCTTTATTTTTTGTCTAGGTTTTTTTTTCGATTTGCAGTTTTTCAAACCCACCCCTATTATAAGCGATACTCTAAACTAAAGAAAAATAAACGATTTTTGGGGTGGGCATTGCATGGGTTGGTCAGGTTGGACTTCAACCCGTTTAGCCAACCCAATAGGCTCAGAATAATTGAAGCCCATTTCCACCCAAAAAATGGGCAAGCCACCCACCCAAATCATTCTAAGACATGCTACAACCAAACCAATTTCGGTTGGGCTGGTTGGATTGGTCGGTAAATCCACTAAGTGTTCAACCCTAATAAGTTTGAATCCAAGAAGTAGTGGATTAAATATCAAAGCCCTAACCACTAGAACAATCCACAACTAATTAATTTAAAACTTATAGGACATGGTGCCTAGACAACTTTTTATGTACTTCTCTCAAGTTCAACTATCTCAAAATTCAGGCCATGTTTAATATTCTTGTTCAATCCAACTATTTATTGTAAAAAAAATAATGAATGTAGTTAAAATACTTAATACCCGTTAGTTTCATAAACAAATAATTGAATCCAAATTTTTTATTTTTTTTGGAGGATTGTATAAGGACTTCTATTGGAGAATGCAACTTTGTAAACTCCATCCCACATGAATAGAGTTTGCCCATTTGACAGGTTTTTTTTAGTTTTTGGTAGTTTTTTTGTTTGGAAAATAATAAATACACATTATTTTTCTTCTCACACACTCTTATATCTAATTTTGCTCGTTGTTTTTTTATTTAATTTGATAACTAAAAATATACACCATTTTTCTTCTTCCATATTCCATATTTATTTTGTCCGTTGTCTCTTATTACCCCTGTTTAACTTATTGTTGTTTTCATGCTTTGATGTGGCTTCATTTACTGCTTGACTTGCAGGTTGTGTGCGAGAATCTTCCCTTTGATGGCCTTTGGAGCTTATGTAATTGGTCCAGTATGCTTTATAGCTCTGTCTTCGTCTATATATTTAAGGGTGGAGTTATTTATACTTTTTTTTTTTTTTTACTTTTTATACATTTTTGTTAATTTTTGTCAATTGTTCTTGTTCAATTCATTGGATCCGACAGTCAAAAAATTGAAAAAATTGTATGAAAGGTAAAAATTGATATGCAGATAACACCACCCAATATTTAATCACTTAACCCAAAATCACATTCTTCATTCTTCCCAAAATATCTAATAGATTTTAACTCCTATATGTTTCTTTAACAAATGAGAAATTTTAATGTATAATCGAGACGTATTATTTTTATATTTCTTTCATTACATAACAAGAAAAGCAAAAATCGAAATACACCCCACCATTATTGGAGTTAAAAAAATTAGTTGATGTCACACCGAATTATCACACTCAATTTTATATACTTGGTGCTTGCAAAATCAATGATTCATCGCCATCACACATTTTTTATTCTCTTTGTTAATGGACCGCACTTGTTAGTGAAAGAAGCACATTAACTTGTCAAACCCATCGTCCAACTTCCATCCCCCTCCATTTGTTCTTTCTTCCTCAATGTCATCATCGATAGACTTGGTTGGATTGAATTGACACTTGACCAACAATGTGGACAGTCTTAAATCCCTTTGATCCCACCAAAAAACTACAATAATGACTTACTTGAAACGAAAGCTACTATAATTACAATAGTAAAAAATACATAAAAACATTTGATAGATTTAAACACCGTTATTTTGGTATCTATATCCAAAATGGTACACTAAAAAAAGTAACTAAACACAGCAAAGCATATGTCATTCAACTATGTAACATCAAAACCTCCGAAGGATATCAATTCCCACCCATATTTGCATGCTCAAAGTTGTGGGGTGCGGTGATCAAATTCCGACAAATGAAACTGTACGGCGGCATTTCATCATTCAGCAGCGAGTATGGCTCTTTCTGCACACCCAACCTCCAACACAGTTGGCCATATATTTATTTATGGTTAATTTTTCTTTGGTACCATTTATTGCCTTTGGATCCACTTGTATGGATCTTCACGAGTTGGTTGGATCTCCTTTAATATTGTCTTTGAAATCATATCAGTCGCCAACCAACCTCTCAAAAAGATTAATTCCTTTCAATCAACTTGGTTTAAAGCTTCATTATTTCAGAATGTTCTTCACGTCTGCATAAACGGCTGGATACTGTTCTATTCATCTCTTCACTTGGCAATTTAACGGTGAGGAATAAACTCAGTTTATGTGTAGGATTCTTACTTGTACGTAGGTGTTCTTTGCTTGTTTTAATTTTCTTTTAATTATATATTTTGGACAGGAGGATGTTGTTCCTTTTGTTTCTTTCGAACAGGAGTTTGTTTGTTCCTTTGTTTCAATTGTTTGTTCTATTTGTTCTTTTGGAGACAATAGATTCCACATATTCACATGTCACCGCCTCTATACGTAGAAAATTTGTCATATCACCAGTTGTATACAATTATGTGCGTATCTCTCTCGTTGCATTTGACTAGATAGACAAAAATGGTAGTACACAACAGGCGACACCTATAAATCTCCCCCTATTTGACGATGTGATCCAATTCACTAGAAACTATAGTAATTAGGTTTGAAGGAATAGTCATTTTTGTTTAAGATTTATTTTATCAAGTAATATTTCATTTTTGGTTGTGTGTAAAGTTCCATATAAATGTTGTGGTTTTGTGGGATTTCTGTAGGGAGTTAAAACAATGGGAACCGGAGAAATCAAGTCCCCTGAAGGAGGGGTGATGACACCAGCTAGTTTAGATGGAAATCCAGACTCAAACCAGAGAAAGAAGCTTGGACTGTACTTCATTGAATCCGATGACAGGCGGATGGCTTTCGGACGCGGTTATACTGGAGGAACCACACCAGTTGACATCCATGGAAAACCTATTGCTGATCTTTCGAAAACCGGCGGTTGGTTTGCTGCCTTCTTCATATTTGGTAAGCACTGCGTATTTTGTAATGTATTTTTTCAATTTGGTTTCTATGCAGCTCTTCATGTAATGAAATATGATTAGGTTAGTCGTGAAGTTTACTTTTAATTTGTCCAGGAAATGAAATGGCTGAGAGAATGGCGTATTTCGGTCTCTCGGTTAACATGGTGGCCTTCATGTTTTATGTTATGCATAGACCCTTCAGCAGTTCATCAAATGCAGTTAACAATTTTCTTGGGATTTCACAAGCTTCATCTGTCCTCGGCGGTTTTCTAGCTGATGCATATCTTGGTCGATATTGGACAATAGCAATCTTTACAACTATCTATCTTGTGGTAGGTACACATATATTCCAACACTGGAAATGTTTAACCAAAAACTAATTAGTTTTCCGATCACGCTTATAGGTGAGCTGATATTTCTACATTTTTTGCTTTCTGTATTTTCATGGAAGGGTTTGACAGGAATAACCTTATGTGCAACGATGCACAATTTCGTGCCAAACCAAGATCAATGCAGCGAGCTAGCCCTCCTTTTGGGCAATTGTGAGCCTGCAAAACCGTGGCAGATGCTTTACCTCTACACGGTTCTATACATAACTGGATTCGGAGCTGCTGGCATAAGGCCGTGCGTTTCCTCTTTCGGGGCAGACCAGTTCGACGAAAGAAGTAGAGATTACAAGTCTCACCTGGATAGGTTTTTCAACTTCTTTTATCTCTCTGTCACCATTGGGGCAATTATCGCCTTCACTGCAGTAGTCTATGTCCAAATGAAACTTGGTTGGGGATTCGCCTTTGGGTCACTGGCATTGGCAATGGGCATATCAAACGTGGTCTTCTTTCTAGGCACCCCTCTATACCGGCATAGACTGCCAGGAGGCAGCCCTTTAACGCGCGTTGCTCAAGTTTTGGTTGCTGCCTACAAGAAGAGGAACGCAGAATTTTCCAGCAGTGAGTTGATAGGCTTGTATGAGGTTCCTGGAAAACAATCTGCCATAAAGGGTAGTGGAAAGATAGCTCACACCAACGATTTTAGGTATCTTTTCATCTACTTTTTTCTTTGTAATAATCCCATTTATCGGTCTTTCTCTTCGATTGTAGAATATCTGATGTTTTTCGTGTTACAGATGTTTGGACAAAGCAGCTCTGCAATTGAAGGAAGATGGCGTAGACCCGAGTCCCTGGAGGCTATGCACTGTGACACAAGTAGAGGAAGTGAAGATCTTGTTGAAACTTATTCCGATCCCGGCATGCACAATAATTTTGAGTGTAGTTTTGACAGAATATCTCACCCTCTCAGTGCAGCAGGCATACACTTTAAACACCCATATAGGCAAACTGAAACTCCCTGTAACATGCATGCCAGTGTTTCCTGGCCTCAGTATCTTTCTCATACTGTCCCTCTACTACTCTACATTTGTCCCACTGTCCAGGCGCATCACCGGCCATCCTCACGGTGCTTCGCAGCTTCAGAGGGTGGGGATAGGTCTAGCAGTTTCAATCCTGTCTGTGGCGTGGGCTGCGATATTCGAAATGTACCGGAGAAATTATGCTATAAAGCACGGATACGAAAGTAACTTCTTAACTGCAATGCCAAATCTAAGTGCATTCTGGTTGCTTATCCAGTACTGCCTTATCGGCATAGCTGAGGTGTTTTGCATAGTGGGATTACTTGAGTTCCTGTATGAGGAAGCCCCAGATGCAATGAAGAGTATCGGATCTTCTTACGCTGCTCTTGCCGGCGGTTTAGGTTGCTTTGCAGCCAGTATATTGAACAGCATCATCAAATCTGTCACCGGAAGCTCAGAGAAGCCGTCTTGGCTGTCCCAGAATATCAACACAGGAAGGTTTGATTATTTCTACTGGCTGCTGACAGTTTTGAGTCTCATCAATTTCGGCGTTTTTCTGTATTGCGCGCATCGCTACAAGTACAGGACGGAGCAAGGGGTTAAGACGGAGAAGCAGGCTCTAACCAACGTAAAAGAACAACCCCTCAGTGGTTAGCATGATATGCCATCTTCCTATGATATTCCAACGTTTTCATTTCGCAGCACTTTAGTAGAAAAGAGAGAAAAAGAAGCTCAAATTTACTTGTAACCAAGCGTTAAGCAAACAAGAAATACAGTTTGTGATTAGCAATGTAAAAATTGCCTTGAAAGAATAGGATGGTGGGAGCCCTTTCGGAACGTTTTATTGACAATTATATTCGGCGAGAGATGTTTTCATCAGAAGCGGTACAAACAAGAAAGAATAGGACGGTGGGAGCCCTTTCGGAACGTTTCCATAGCAATTATTTTTACAATCATTAAACATGGTTCCACACAGATCTGTGGAGATCTATACAAGAAATAAGATGAAGTAATCAAACACGAAGCATCGAGAAACACGAAGTATTACAACTGGTGACACAAAATGAACAATTGCTTCCCTCTCCGGAACCCTTTAGAAACAAGACAACTTTTTATTTACAGAAACTCGTAGCCGCGCTCCACATATATATATTTGTTATATTGCTTTGCCATCAGACAGAAAAGTTAAGGGCTTTCGCAGAACTCCATCTCCTGAAATTCAAGAAACTAACAGTTAAAAGTATGAACTACTTGGTAAGTTTACTCTTGATTTAGATAATCTAGGAACTGCTGCAAAACAACACCAAGCAAAATTCCAAGGGTAGGGCAACTAATAAGCGCTAATATTTTGATCTAAAAAGTTAATTTCTTGGTCCAGCTTACCTTGCCGCAAATTGGACAGCTTTCGCTTCTCTCCAACCATTCATAAATACAGCCAAGGTGAAAATGATGAGAACATCTCGTTGTGATTTTTGGATTTTCTGAAGTGTATTCTGCAAGAAAATACATCACATATTAATTATTAGCAGCACACCACAGAACCACTGAAGAAAGACGCTAGTTTGCAACAACAATATATATTATCACCGCACAATTAATATCTTAAACCATATTCTAGCAATGCCTATTGGTTATTAGCTACTGTGAAATGTGCGCATTGAACTTACCATCCAGACATGTAGGGCAGACATCTTCATCTTCAGAAGATGGTTGCACGTAAGTTAGTCCATATGCGAGTTTTGTTGCCAAAGCCTTTTCTGAGGTCTCAGATTGGCCAAACTTACAATCTTCTTCAGTATCATCTCCATTCCATTTCTTCCCAAAACCCAGGGATTCGGTACCAGAACTGCCTCTTCTCAGTTGTTGTGTATCTTCTTGCAAATGAGTCATTGACTTCTCACGCCTAGAGACCAAGCCATCACGCTGCAAACGCGAGTATCTCTGATCAGCATCGAAGGGGGTTGGCCAGGAAACTGAGAGCTGAGTATCATTCAAGGGATTATTTTGTAGCGTTGTGCCTACTCCGGTTGATGCCAAAGTGGCCCCTTGAACAGGTAATGTTGGTGGTCGTCCATCAAGCCTTTGAAAAGGTGCACTATACTGCATGAACATGGGGAAATGCAAACAATTAAGAATTATGGAAACTAAAGTGAATCAAACCCATGGATCTTATTGGGATTACCTTCATAAAAGCGAAGCATTTTGGAAAGAACATTTTCATTTAACAATAACTTTGAAAATGTCTTTCTATTCAAGTATGTTGGCCCAAAATTAAAAGTGATAGATGATTTCGAACAGTTTACTTTGTAGCCATCATTAACATTACAAATTTTTAGATGTAACGTAGACGGATTTGTTTAGTTGCATCAGGCTCCTCAGTTTCCAATTGACATGCCAATTTATGGTCCCCAGCCCGTTCTTTTTCAGACAATAAATCTAAAACATTGATATAACCAAATGCGTCTGGTGATAGAAAACTACATAAATTTCCAAGCTTTGGACTAAGAGGGTTCCTGAACGGAAGAACCGACAAAATATTGAGTTCATCATGGCTTCTATACATACCCCAGTGAATAGCTGGTGAAAGAAGTATCTCAGGCATAAGCAATGCCTATAAATTGAATTGCTCGGAAGCGCGTATTCTTCAAATTCCTCACCACAAGGACAGCAGCAAAGAGCACCCATCCCTGAATTTCCACCAATATATACAAAAGAGTCAAAATTTGAGTTCCTGAAGACAAAACTCGATGCTTTGTGTTGATGAAAGCCCCAATTGAGACTCCTCCACAATAACCCATATGCATATGCATATTATGCAGAGACCCCAGTGTGAATTACATAACATAAAAGGACAAAGAATCAATTTTTGACAATTACCATGATCAAGACTTACAGACCCAGCTGAAAAACTAATCATATACTTACATTCTAACATTTTCCAAAAGATTTGAAGAATTACAATGAAAACCCATAAATTTCTAGGGTTTTTCAATTGGGAAAATCAAGTAAAGGTTGAAAATTTAGAGGTGGAATTGGGAGTGTAGATTCTGACATACCTCGCGTTGCGTTTGCGGATGAGCGATTGAATTGCGATGGCGATCGTGCGATGAGAAGGGGGAAGGAAGGTAGGGGCTGAGGAAGACGGAGACTTGGGGGGAGTCGAGTCCACGCAGGGGTTTCCTGGTTTTGGTTTGGGAAGTTTCAGGAGTGTGGTGGGTGGGCAGTGGGCTCAGAGCTTGAAGGGGGACACACAGGAATGGAAGCTCTTTCTTTACTATTTAGTATGGGTAACGGTAGGTGATTAAATTCGTATATTAAATTTACAAATTAATAATGTGACACAAATAAGAAATAAATATGTTAATTATATTTAAGTAATGATTTAATAATTAACCTTTAGTATTATTTACAGACTATTTTATCTTGTACATGCATACACACACCAAATTCTATGGATTTTCAGCCAATTAACCCACATTCTAGATAAAATATTTTAATCACTTAAACTCTAAATAAAATATTTTAATACGATTGTTATTGATCCTTTAAAATAACAACATGTGCTAATCAATCAAAAAGAACTCTTGGTAGTAAAAATGGAGTAACACCAACACAACCCCTACAACTGAGGGTGAGTGCAAATACTACCAACTTGTCTCTGAGGAAGTAGAAAACAAACATGATATGTTTTGACCTAAAACATTAGTTTCACATGTGGATAGTAAATTGGCACACTTTTTTATTTCTTACACTGGTGGTATTTGCGCACACCCTTATTAGTTTGGGTATTGTTTATGTAATTCTTGTGTGGAAAAAAAAAAAAGAGAGAGTAGAGTACAAAAGTGTTTAATTGAGTTGGTTAAGACAGTATAATCCATCATTTACATCCAAATTCGAGCCCACCTTCTCTTAATTTCAATGAATTTAGTTTAGTTATCATATCATTTGTCAAAAAAGTAAAGTAATTATATAATTAAAAAATGATAACATAAAAAAAAATGAAAAACACTCACATTGATCAAAACAGAAAGAAAAAAAACAAAAAACAAAAAACAAAAGCTCACCAACACTGACCAACTAGTGAATTAATAAGGCCGGTGGTAGTAATGCTTTGGGACAGAATCTCGGTTTGGTACAAAATTACTGGCATATCACCAATAAAATTGTGTCAAATATTGCAATGCATACAACTAAGTAGTGGGAACGAGTCAGCGGGCCGTGTTCGAGTTTTACCAAATAAACCCTTATTACTTAACTTGTTTAATTAGTCAATCACTAGCCTCTTGACACACGCATATGCGTGTAGCAATTGATATTTTTATATTTTTTTATTTAAATAATTAATAGACATATTTTTAAAAATTTATTTTAAAAAAAAAGAAAAGAATTAATGACGTGAAACCACCCACTAACGTGGGAGGTTTTGTTTTTGTTATTTTTTCTTTCTATAATTTTAAATATTAAATTCATTCAAAATAAAAATATGGTTAAATACTTTAGCTTCTTTTGGTTCAATTGTAATTTATGAAATTCTTAAAAGGCAATTTATAGTATTTTGAATGTTTCGCCATTTGAGGGTTCTCACTTTATATATATATAAACAACAAAACTCATTCACTATTTTTAGAATTTAGAATCTCACCAAAATTCATTATGTGTTGCGCATTTGAGCACCTTTTTCGCATACCGTATTTTTTATCTGTGGACAATAAACTCTCCGTTCCTAGTCCGCAAGCTCAAGTGACCCCAATTATACACTAGAGAGGAAAGAAGGAAAGTTCTGTTCGATGAAGCGCGTCATCACAACTCGTGCAACGGTTAACTCAAGACTCGCAAAACCCCGCATGGAGTTGAGCAGTTGATGTCTAAGTTTAGATGGGATTCGCACTTGGGTTGCTGCTATTACTGAATACACCAGAAAGATACGTAAAATTTAGAGATAATTTATTCTTATAAAAGTTACGTACAAAACAAGAAAGAAAAGAAAAGTATAGAACATCAGTACAAATTGAATCCCAACGGATTTAAACCTCTCACAAACCTTCCATTCATAGAAGCACCGGTGATGGAAAACTCTGCTTCTGCTTCTGCTTCTGCTTCTGCTTCTGGGGCAGTGTCAGTTTTCTTGTTATCAAAGCAGTACACAGGGGCTTGCCATTTTGCATCCTCGAGCACAGCCCCAACCTCAAATGTCATCACATGTGCCTCCCTCCCTGCAACATCATTCATTTCTCATAATCCTCACAATTGAAACTCCAGACGTTATCGAGAGTTCAAAATAGTCATAATGCACTCGTACCAATAAAAATTAGAGAACTTTAACGAAAAACTCTCAGTATTGTTCATTTTAACAAAAAATCATATTTTTATACTAAAAAACCAATCATATACTATTCACTTTCCCTTTTATTTTGTCTTTATCGTAAAAACTCAAAGTTTCAAACTTTTTTTCATTAATTTTTCTTAAAAATTATAAAACAAATAAGTGCACGATGACTATTTTAGCAGAGTAAATATAACCATATTTGGAGACCCAACATTTAATTTGAGGGTCTAATCACAATTCCCAATCAAAATCTAAGCGCAAAACCAAGAAAATTGACAACCAAATATTGAATCGGAAGTGATTTCCGTACTCTCTTTTTCTATGCAGTATTGTTCTTTCTTATTTAGTGAAAACATAAAACTGAGTAAAAAATCACTTGAAGAAGAAAACAATTAATTAATTAATTAATTAATCAGTTAATTAGTACCTGTGTAGAAAACCCAAAGGACAGGCCGATTGGTATCAACGTCCTCATAGTACGTTATGAAGTCGGCCTTCTCCCAAACATTGCACAAGAAACCACCGTCCACGAGGCGCCGACCCAGATACTTGGCTCCGTCGAGCCAATCGGGTCGGAGAATACCCACTTCAACGTGGACGGTTCGGCACTCTCGGGCGGAGTCCAATGTGTAGAAGAAGGAGGTGCCGTTGTTCCACTCGAGGTCGTAGGTGACCGAGCCCAGCTGGTGCCGTATGATGTTGAAGTTCCGGCCGTTGGGCCAGTCGTACCAGAGGTCGATCAGCTGGAGGGTTCCGGTGTAGTTCATCATCAATATGGAGTGGAATTGGTGGGGCCATGGGGCGGGAACTGGGTCTTTTGATGACGGCAGTGCGCGGCAGAGAGAGGCGGCGAGGAGGATGAGGATTGGGACGACGGCGGTGGATTTGGACAGTGAAGCCATTGTCGTTGGTAGCTGGATTTTGCGATGAGGGCTTAAAAAGTGGACGCGTGTGGGTGGTGGTAGGGTGAGGCCAGGTGGCTCTTACCAGAGTGGGCTTGCACACTAAAGTCCATTGGGCCTCAGAAATGTTATTTTACTTGAATCGTTTATTCTCTTTATCATTTGAATTATTCAAAAAACCATTAAATTTGAAAACCATTCTACCTATTGAGCAGGTGTGTTGTTATGGTCACACAAAAATTCTAATCACGTGAAACAATTTGTGCTGAAGAGATTTAAACGAGATAATAGTCATAATACATTAGTTTCTCACATATACAGAGTCATTCGTCTAATTTTCTTTACATAACAATACGAAGTCATTTTATTGGAAGTGTTAATAAAACACTCCTGGTACTGTTCACTTTTAACGAAAAACCACATTTTTACCTTTAACTGGCACTATTTATTATACCTTTAAAAATAACTTTTCGTTAAAAAATAAATTTTTTTTGGACTTTTCGTTAGTTTGCTTTATTATTAATTGCACCGTTTTGTGTTATTATCATCTAGAGAACTTTTAAAAAGTTGTTTACCAAAAAAAAAACGAAACTTTTAAAAAGTTTATCTGAAACCTTGTGTGATAAATACTAGAGTATTTAATCATAGTTTTAGTCACTTAAACCACAACAAGTGGTCTAGTGGATTTGTGGTACAAATTTAAGTCAGGTTTGCTCCATGATCTTGAATTTGAGACATGAACTTTGCAAAAACACGAATAATTCTCTAGTTAAAAGTTTTAGAAAGACGTGTGTTATTTAACTGCGTTAGAGGCGAGCTGAAATGTCTTTAGGTCTTACTAGAAACTAATCCTACTCTCCGGAGTGTGTACACCTTAGGCTTGGATTAAAAAACAAAAAAGCCAGGAAATTAGTCCTACCGTTCTCAAATTTGATGTTTCACACTTTTAGTTTCATGCCAAAAAACCAGGACATGTGTGTGTTGGTGTTCTCAAATCCAAATAATACGAAATGATTCTCTCCAAGGTAGATAAACGACACTATATACTTGCAAAAGTATTGTGGCAAAATATGACTTAAATTGTCAAACAATTCAGCACCTCTCATCTCTTTGGAAATTACCCTGCAATTAATCATAAACCCCCGATGAAATATTACTTTAGATGATATGGGTGACATATAGATTGTTTTTAAGGAACTTTAACGAAAAGCTTATGGTACTATTCATTTTAACGAAAGATTCTAGTATTGTTCACTTTAACGAAAAACTACATTTTTACATTAAAAAATCAATTTTGATACTATTCAATTTACCATTTATTTTGTCATTGTCGTTAAAACTCAAAGTTTTCAAACTCTTTTTATTAGTTTTTCTTTGATTTTAATCATACATGGATGAGTTGTGACTCGTTTGAAAGTGTTTTCAAAATGGCTTAAAGCGGTTTTGATGAAAACGTTTTTGAACCAATTCTTAGTTAAAATGTAAGTAAATTATAGAAAAACACTTGAAGTGCTTCCTACAAAAGCATGTAACTGAGGCTTCTTGCAAGAAGCACTTTTAAGTGTTTTTTGCAACCCAAAATTATTTTCTCTAATCCCTCTTTCAATCAATTTAAAAACACTTCCAAACGAGCTCCTAGTTTATGATAATATAAAATTAGTAGGGTCTGCTACTAAAGCAATTGTATGTGATCTTTCTTGTTTTAGAGAGTGTGTCAATTTATGTGTTAAATAGTATTATACTTTTTTGGGAAAATTTGAAATATGTCCAATTTTATAGGCCTACTTTTGAAATATGACTAATTTTTAGTGACTTTTGACTTTTGAAATAGGTTCAATTTTTAGTTACTTTTTTTGTACCAGCAATATGAAAGAAGATTATACAAAAATTCAATATTAGAGAAGATTAAACAAAAAATTCAAAATTTGTTCAGAGACCAAATGCTTTTAACCAACCGAGCTATTCCATGCGGTTAAAGACTTTATCTCGCCATAACCACTTCTGATTTATAACTTGCCATTAACCCCTGCAATTCTCTCCAGCTTCAGTATTTCCTCCTCCTCCTCCTCCTTCTCATAAATCTTGCTTCCAAGTTCCGAACTCCAACACATCCCTTACCCTAATATTGATAAAATTTTAGAATCAAAGAAAAGCTTGAAAGTAAGAATGACATGGTATCAGTTGGTATGTATGCTTGTTTGATCTTCTTAATATTCTGTTTGCAGTTGCAGACCCCGCTGTGGTGAACTTTTGAGATTAATGGCTGTAGATGGAAGAAAATCTCTGCATGAAAACGAAAACCCTACATTTTCCGGCAACAGTAGCCTCTATGAAATCAAACGGTTTAGCTCGTCAAAGATTAGGATGGGCTAATTACAACCGTAAGATTATAAATCCACATCTGATCTGCCTTTTGTTTTCCATTTCAGCTTAACTCTATGCCGATCATGTTTTTAAATTTTTCTTTTTCAGGCTCATTATCGGAGTGGGAGTAGCTCATCAAGGGACGTGCAAATCAAGTTCCTAATTGGATCGCTCTTGATGCACATATAATTATATATTGGCGTCTGTAATATAACCTTCAGCCGACCCCACTTAGTGGGAAAAGGCTTTGTTGTTGTTGTTGTCTGTAATATAACCTTCAAATTACAAATTCGACACTGGTGAACATGCGCATCAGTTTTAGTGATAAACCATACAAGGAAAGGAAATCTCTCCTCTCTCTTCATTCTCTATGGTATTTTTTTCCCGACAGTACAGAAGAGTGTAAATTGACATTTCGGAGTGCCAGTATCAGCGTTTGGACACAAGGGAACGATCAACAGTTGGTTGTGAGCTTTTGTTTTTTAACAACCACATCCTTCATGTGACGGTTCAGTTACAGTTCATGGTATTAGTATTTCTTAGTCTTTAGAGGTTTAAGGGCAAGGGTTCTGAATCTTAACCCGAGACATCCGCCATATCAAACCAGAAAACCCAAGAAACTGACATTTCCGCTCACTTCTGAAAACCCCTATGATTCGATCTTCGGCGGTGGATGGAGCCACGGCGCCACACAGGGCAGCTTCTGTTCCTCGAGCACAGCTATCAAGGTGAAGTTCCATTCCGGCAAAGACACAGCAGCGGCTGATAGGCACAAGGACGAACTGGCCTGTTTGATTTGTGATCCTAAAATTCTTTTGAAAAATCATGATTGAATCTGAATATTTGAATTGTGTCTGAAACTCTTTAGAAATTTGAAGACTTGTATGGTAGGTAACTTACTTTTTCTCATTCTGAAACTCTTTAAAAATCATGATCCAACCATCGCACGGTATCATACATCAAATTCTTACAACTTGGCGTCGGCAGTGCAAAGCATCACAGTTTACTCAAGCAGGTAAGCAGGGCCAAATATCCCCAATCATTTTGTAATTCTAAATGCATGTTACTGTCTGAATGGCCAAATCGGGAATTAACCAACCAGAGCCATCAATTTGCTCGGAAGGTTTAACTCCTACTCAAAGGTCTTGGCGTAATGACTTGTCGTGATGATTCAAAAGGCGGTCGACAGTTCAGGCATTTCAGGGCATGCAAAAGCTCAAAGAAAGGGTAAGAAAAAGTGAAAGAAGTGAGAAACAAACCTGAACTTTCACTCCTGATCTGAAAATTGCTAAAACATATTGTACACAAGTATGTGTTTGTCTAAATGTACTTTAACCCTGAGATGTACTGTTGTCTAGACATTAGATACTGGGCCAGGGAATAAATAATTCCCAAGAGCCCTAATATCCTAATCTTCAGCACGTCTGTTATTATGATCGATGGCAGATTAAGGGGCATAGTTATCAACGGCATTGAGTCTGTCTGTTTAGTGAAACTCCACATAAACCTGTTGAAAAGGATATGGCTCGGGAATGTAAGGACGAGGAGGGCCAAATTCTTCACAGCAAAGATCCAATCTGGACCGCCAATTTCCAAGCCCCAACCCGCATTCCCAAGCCAGACATCTTCCCATATGCTGTAGATGGCAGTCAGGACTAGGTAGGCCGATATCACTACTGCAACAGGGAAATACCTTTGCTTGTCCCCAAATCCAGCAACAAAATCAGAGTCCTGGTTAAGAAGCAGCAAAATTGGTGCCAGAAAGAATATCGCACGATTTGAGCCGCCTGTGAGATTGACATTCAGGATGAGGCATATGGCAAAGCACATCACAGTTGCAACATTACCAACTGCTGGCATCCAAGCTCCCTCAGCAGCCATTTTCTTGATTGTGAATGATGAGACACTTGCAGACCTACGCTGTTGCATGAATCTCATTCTTGCAGCAAAGCTAGTAGAGGTGCTTTCACCAGATTGACTGTGCCTGATTCCAGGCCTTTCAGTAGCCTTTTCCCTCATTAATGACGCAAGTTCAAACTTTATCTCCAGCGCTATTAGCATAAATATGGCTGCATAAAGACCGAGAAGAGATGTCCTTGCCCCCTCAACAGCAAATAGAGTAGTGAGCTTCTTCTCTTCTTCACCCAAGTCTCCAAATCCACTATCTCCGAGGATGTTTTTAATTCTCACTTGGCCCTCCAAAAGATAGGTCACAGGAAAGAGAGCTACTAGTAAAGCAAATACCCAAGGAAGCAGCTTTGTACTCGAGGCAGATGGAAAATGGGTGAAAACCACAAACACCGAGGCAGAGACCATGGTTACAACTATGAGGATATGTAAAAAAGCTGTCTGAAGGAAGTACTCGGTAGATATGTAGACACCTAGAGCAATACCCATAGCTATGGAGTAAAATACTCTCAACTCAACCATGTATTTAATAGGTATGACAGATGTAACAGCTGCTAGAGTCAGTAGGATTGCCATAATAAGAAGCCATGACGGCCACAAAGGTTTTTGTGCCACAAAGCCATATATGGTGATGTCATCAGAAGTCTGACGAGCAGCTTTAATTAGGTCAGACCGGTACGTCCATGATAGTGGAATAGGTGGTTGCATAAGGATAAACAGCAATCCAGTTGCCACCACCAGCACTAGGCATCTCTTGGCAGACTGCACAAAAAAGTAG